CTTTAAAGCTGACTGTCTTCTTAACAAAAAGTTTTCATATCCAACATGAACTGTAGTTTCAAACTCGCCTGGGTCTCACCAGCACCCATAACGACATTCATAATTGCCAGTCAGCACTTAAATCACCTTAAGCGACCCATTGTAGCTAAGTTTCTATCCAAAATGACAAGCTATTTCGAAGCCTACTCACAATTAATACAAGTAGTATAGCTAATTGTAACTAAACTTGCATGCTGGTCTCATGACCCAAAGACAACTGTTATTGAGTAGCCGAGCGGTACAGTATCATGATAGGATGAAATCCACCATCTGTCCTTAAACCCATAAAATTGACCCAGAGTGGCAAATCGAGTGCAAGTTGAATTGTACAGTCACACGACACAGAATTCCACTATGCCCAAACGGAGGCTAAAGCTCCTTTTCCCCCCATAGGCCCTTTATCGGTCGCAACTTCGCTTATTTGCAAACCGTGGAGATCGTAGAATTCCTTCATTTTTTTCTGCGTTAGATCATAAAAAGTTCACTGCGGAAAATTCGGCTCTCCATACACACGACATCCAAAATGACTAAAACTGACTCGAAATCTTACTCAAGATCTCAGAATATTATAAAAATACTTTTATCTTTTAATGAAACCACTTTACCTGATCCCTAGAAGATATTCTTCTTCTATCATAATTTATCAATACGATAGAACAATTAGAGTTGGTTTAAAGTGTGAATACGAATCAGAAGGCATCAGGTATGGATGAGGCCATTAGACACAAGCACTGAGCCCACTGTTCCTGAATGGGCTAAATACTGCCCTGAAAAATGAAAGAATTTCGCTAATTTTCCCATCTGATTTGGTCGAAGTTTCTGAGGCTTACATCTTGCAAGGAGAAATCTTATACCTAAGGAAATACGCTATCCAATCTTTCTCGTCACTCTTTATTATTAATTATTGCAATTGGGGGGAATTCGCAAGTTAATTCCGGTTCAAAATTATACATTAGTTCAAAATTAGCCATCTTTTACACTATAGTTAAACATATTTTAGACATCTCTATCACTATACAAATGTATATATATATATATGTATGAACAGAAAGTGAGAGAGAGAAAGTCTAGATAAAAATAAAACCATGATTTTTGAGCGAAAATCCAAATCCAATAATTTATCTATGTTTAGATCAATAGGTATATTTATACAACTTTTTCTTAAAGTTTATTTATTTACAAATTATCTTTTGAATTAACTCCTTTTTAGATGCTAGTGAAAAGATGGCTATCACTGAAACTGGAAAGTCTGTTCGGATAGCCAGAATCACGAGAACAACAATGGTTATTTGCCGTTTCAATGAAGATTTTGGTAGAGGAAACTCACTTTGAAGTGGAATAAAAGGCTCACCACCTGATGCCCACACCTCAACTGGGTACCTGGACGCTTCCAGCCGACTCTCAGCTGCAACCTTCATTCGTAAGCTGCACGCATGACCTGGATTTCCGGGGTCTTTCTCCTCTCCGGACGCGTTCGTGTCTCCGATTTGGATTTGCTCGCCCATTGCTGAAGGTGGTCATGACAAGGCACAAAGTTATAATGCTCCGATAAGCAAAGGTACATGTAGTCTGGTGAAGGCGGGTGACAAAAGGGCTAGAATAACAGCCTAAATAGAAGCACGGATCGACAAACTGCAATGATAAATTGTCTCACTCCGACTTTATCGGGAAAGCATAAAATCAAAAAGAATGAGGATTATGACGAAGAAGCTATAGAAGAAGAATATAGAAAACGAGGACAAGGAAAAGAGAATAGAGAAGGAGAAGAATTGAAATGGTAGATGACATGTGTCCATGTCTTCGACCAAGGATGGACAGCATAAAGCGGCATTCGTCGGTAAATACGGGCCTTGATAAAATTAAATTAGCCAAAAAAATTGTGCCGGAACAAGTTTATGAGGTGAATTTTGCCAAAACATAATCCTCGAAGAGCATATTTCAGGTATGAAATAAACGATCAAAGGTCAGAGCAAAGAATAGAATTAATAGAAAAATTCTGCCAGTATGAAACTGCGCTATTCCGTGTTTTCCTATAATTATATTGATACTGCATTTTTGTAAATAGTTGATTTATGCTAAGAGGCTGAACTTGATTGAATCCAACAAACACAACAATTACGCCTTACCATCATCAGCCTCACATGCATTTTCACTCAGCTGGAGCTCTTCTTCACTCTCTGTTTCATATTTATCCTCATCCAATTCCGTCGAGTCATTTGGAAGTATCGTGACTCGCATGAAGATTTCAGGATAGACAACCTTTAATTTGCCCTCCTCTAACACGTTAGCATCCATTTGGTCGGCGAGATTCGACATTTCGCTGAGGTTGCTGCACGAAGTGACAAGGCTGCTGGAGAATTCAGGCTCTGACGGACAATCCGACTCAGAAGAAATAGTGAAGTTGACCAACCCCTTTGCAGATTGATGACAGGAGTTTGACCCTGCAGAGGTAGAAGTAAAGACAACTATCTGATTAAACAGCATAAATGATACGATATCTTCTAGGAACTTTGCGTAAATATGTAGTTTTACAGTCATACGAGATGTGTTTACTCTATTTCGTTTAAGGTGATAAGTGGACTAGTAGTTGAATTTTCCCACAATGACCTGATTAAAGTGTACGCTTGCATAAACTTTCCCATAGCCTCACTTACTAAAAAGGCATTTTCCTCCAGACAGTCTTCCCCATTCTAAGGAAGACAACAAATATACGAAGTCCAGGTTCTGATGCTGCGACTTATTATAACTACTGTGACAGAGGACTTAGAACAATGTAGGTTCAACTAAATCACCCTGACAACACAAACAAGTTGCGAAAACCAGTGCATACCATGTCTGTACTTGATCTTCATTTCTATGTATTCATTCAATTTCTGTATATAAACAATCAACTGGTAGTATCGAAAACCTACTTATAAACGAAAAATAAGTAATGTAATCGATTACCATGTCAAAACACAACGACAAAATATGAATTGGGAGAATGCCTGACCCTCGTTGCAATTCACATCTGCCCCGTGACCCAAGGGCACTCGTGGTATTGTGGCATATTGGGTAACGTGTCGAGGTGACACGCTGCACTGTCATGGTTCGAGTCCCGCTATGAGTGTTGCCGAGACCTTGGCGAGGTCGCCCAGCGACTCCGTCATGTGACGGACAGCGTCAGAGCAGGACGCCATTTTTATCAAAGATAATTTCCCCAAAACACCAAAGCAAGAAAGGTGGCCAGCTTCAGACCTATTTGCTTCTTATAGTCCAATTTGTTCCCCTTAACCTCCGGTGGGGCCAACTTATGAATATATTCCACTCGCCTCTTTAAACGCAATGAAAGGTACCCCAACACCAATATATTATATTCGTATTAAAGTAGGGTTTCGAGACTACCAGTAACTCAGTGTAATGAGATGTATTCACCC